GTGACAATCAGCTTTGTACACCATGAATATTCATAACCAATAAAAAAAAAAAAAAGCAACACTTCATTCTGGTGTTCTAGGCTGATTACAGCTAATAATATTATGTTGTATATTTCTTTCTTTTTAATTGAAACATGATTATACATATGTGTGGGGTACAGAGTTGAGTATCAGCATATTATATTGCATATTTCTAAATATTCATAAAAGAGGACCTTGACTATAATCACCACAAAGAAAAGATAAATGTTCAGGTTATGGATATGTTATCTACCATAAGTGAATCACTGTACAATATATTCATGTATTGAGACAACACACTGTACCCCATAAATACATATAAATAAATTTAAAATTTAAAAAAAAATAAGGAGCTTACATTGTTAGGCTATAACCCTTCTCAATCCTTTCAGGAATTATCTCAACCCTTACTGTGTCCTGCATCAATTTCACTACCTCCAGTGTTGTTATGATTAATTTCTTCTTCCTTACTTTACTGTAGCATTTTATCTTAGGAACTTAAAGCAAATTTACACAGTCCTTTTATATACACCATAAGGAAGGTAGGAAATAAATGAAATCTGAAGACAGAGAGAATGAGAAAGAAAGGAAGAGGGGGAAGAAGGGGAAAGGAGAGGAAAGGGGGAGAGGGAGAGACATCTGATTGATTGTAAACATTTCTACAAATCAAAGAAGCCACTTCATATTTTATGGTAGCCATATAACACTCTATAATTTTTTTTAAGTAATCTTATCTTCATATGTTGAAGTTACTACTGGATGCCTGTTAAAGTTATTCTTCCACAGAATTAGTATTTATCTTTATAAACTAAGACTCTCTATTCTTTTACTGAAAGCATTAACAGTTTTGTGATACTGATTTTTCTCACCAGAAAAACACAAAATCAGTAAAACCCTTTTCCATCAGGTATAATCGGTCAATTTTCACTACTGCTGGTTCTCCCACAGTTCAGGCTCCTTTCCTAAGAAGACTATGTTCATTCTTCCCTTCTCCCAACCCTTGACCTGTCTCCTCAGTGTGACATCCCTCCCTTTCCCACTGTACTCTCGAAGCAATCTTCTATCGCTGCTCTTGTGCCTGAATTTCACCCTAATAAATCCACTGAGATGGTTTTAATTTTACCAATATTTTTCTAATGGCTAAATCTACTAGCCTCTTCTTTATTCACCCCAAATGACCTCCAATGTATCCAGCACTGCTGACTACCAAACACGTTCTGAAATGCTTCCTCATTCATTGTCCTTTTCCTGATTACTCTTCCTCTGCCTAACCCCTTAAATACTGGCATTCTTTGGGGTTCTATGAGGTTTGTTTGTTTTTTTCTTTTATACTATGGAAAAGCCCTGAAAAATCTCATTCATGACCATGCTGTAGGGAGTCACTAATGCTGCTCATTAAGTATTACTAATTTTCCCTCCTGCACATGGAGTAGAATTGTACCTCCCTGATTCCTTGAACTCAGTTGAGATCATTTAATTACTTTGGCCAATGAAGTTGACCTGTATCACTGCTGGCAGAAGCCTTAAGAGTCTGTCAGCATGTAATTTGCCATGTCAGTTTTTTCTTATCCCAGTGGTCATGGAAATATGTCTCCATGATGGGTTGCTGGGGACTATGGTAAACAAGTACCTGCCAACCTGTATGAGACATGTCACACGAGGAAGACACTGCTGTAGTAAGCCACTGTGGTTTGGAGTAGTTTATTATCACAATATGACTTAGACTAGCCCGATAACCACTACTCATTCAAAAACATGTATTTCCAGCCCAAATTATTCTGCTGACAATGAACTCCAAAACTAAATTTCAGCTTACTACTGTATCAATCAATGTGCCCATATATGAGTATATTCTATGCATTAGATAGTTGTGAGAATTGAGTAATTAGGAACATTTTTATTTCCCTGAAGAAATCCAGTGATACTCAGGTAAATGATTAGATTTCCCTTTTAAATGTTCACTGTTTTATTTGTACTAGTCCAAAGTTTGTTAGCTTTTACTAAGCTACAGAAGAACACCGAAATGTTGACTTCAGAAAATAATGTCTTATAAATAGTCAACAATAATTTCTGTCTTCCTCTCTCTGTTTAGGGACAAATATCACCTAATCATTTTCATTTACTATGTATCGATATCAGCACTTCCTCGGATAAATGACATCTCTTCCTCTTGCCCACTAAAGCATGCTTTGAACCTTGTTCTGATTTCATTCTTATAACACTGGCATTCAACACTCAGATTTACTAACACACAAATTTATATATTTCATTTCTCTGAGATTGTTCCTTAATTTACAAAAATGTTTAAAAATCAAGTCTAAGTCATACCTCCTAAGAAGCTTTACTACTGACTGTGCTTTATCATGAGAAGCATGTACTCTCTTTTCAATTTACCTCCTGGACAAGCCTAGGCTCTCCAAGCTCTCCCCTCTCTCCCCGCTCTGCCATCTCCTGCCCTGCAGCCAGCAATGCACTATTCTCCTTTGGGTCCTGCTCCGTGAGTTCACCAGGAAATGCATGTAAAGTTTTAGAAACATAGTAAACACTCTACAAGCCTGAGCTATCAATGTTATCACAATTTTGAACTGGAAGGGAAGAAGTGAACATTTACTAAGCACCAGGAAGGTGCCAGTCATGAAAGAACACTTTACACCAGGCTGTGAAGCTAATGAGGGGTGGAGCAGGATTTAAATCCAATCATGTAAAACTCCAAAGTTTGCCCTTTCTGTTATTAGATATATGAGGGCACTTCAAAAAGTTCATGAAAAGATTTGTATTATCTTTCAATTCTATTTTTCCATGAACTTTTTGAAGCACTCTTGTATTCTGCTAACACCAAGGAAATTTAGAAGGCTATTTTTATTTATTTATTTAGAAAGACAATAATCTACTGGGAGTTTATTTCTGGGCAGTGGGATTCTGGATACTTTTTTTCTTCCTTCTTAGAAGGCTATTTTTATACGACAGAAGAGGGGAAGAGAAAGAGGAGAAGAAGTGAAGAGGAGGAGAAGGCGGAGAAGCAGGGGGCGAGGAGGGGTGCAGAGACAGCAGCACCTGGAAGAGTTTCTGGGCTCCATCGGAGCCGCACAGCACAGGGCACGGTGCCTTACACAAACTAGTTACCAAGTAACACTTTCCTGATTAGAAATGAGGGTTGGGTTAAAAAACTATGGCATTGAAAAACTTCTATTTTATAGAAAAATATGAATTCCATGCATGTACTGTCCCCATTTTATGGATGAGGAAATTAAGGTGCAAAATTAAGCCATTTGCCCAAGCTCAAACAGCTGGTTAGTGGCAAAGCCTGGATCCTAACCCAGGCAGTGAAACTCCGATGCCAGAATTCTTAACTGTGACCATATACTTTAAAGGTCATTTAAGTAACTCTGAGTCAAAACCCTATGTGAAGAGATAATGAGCCAAAGATAAAGTATGCATAGAGAAAAAAACAATAAAGTGCAGACTGAATCAAAGAAAAAAATTACAGGAAATAAGTCAAACTGAAGAGCAAGGTGGAATAAAAGGTGGCACATCGAAAGTGTGTAGCTTCTAAGAATTTAAACTTAATATTTAAAATTAAATTCACCCTCGAATATCATCATAAATATAAAAGTAAAAAGATGAATAGAAAAAACCCTAGAACTTGTATGTGTATTAGAATAGCCTAGTTTTGCTCACTTAAGGAAAAAAAAACTGCTATACTTCTTGAAAAAACATATACAAATATGTATGTGATTTTGTTCATAATTCGCTTAATAATTTATTCTTAAATAATTTTATCTCTAGTGTAGAATTATTGACTTGGGTATATTTGATACAAATTAGGGTAAAGTTGCGATATAAATCAAAAGAGATAATTTTCCCATTACAATTAGAATTTATACTGAAATAATAGTAGCACAACGTTTTTCTTTGACTTTAGCAAATATGTGTCACACACAGACATGTAGAGCCCTATCAAATACAAGACTCCCCAGTGTGCACCCCACTGGAAAGCAGACAGAGGTGCAAGAAGAGTTGGCAGACTGAACTACAAGAGGACCCACAGCGTTTGTAGGGCTGGTGATGCTTTCTTAATTTTCAAAGGGTTAACTACTTTCTAAATAGTATTTAGCTGAAATGATGGAATGTATCTTGTCTACATATATCTTTTCAAAGAATTATTTCATTTCTACTGCTTTGTAATAGTTACCAGAAAAAGACCTTTACTATTAATTACTCACAGAGCAAGGCACGGATCCATGTGAGGCTTCTTTGTTCTACTTAAGTACACAATGACTGCGTTTCAAATAAAAATGAGTGAAGTTAACAGCTAGGAAGAGCTTCGCTCTAATGACATTAACACACACTGTTGACTTCATCACATAAAATGCACCATCCAAATAATATCTACTGAGAATTCACACGTACTTTTTGTTATAATTTAGCCTACGCACACAAGTTGATTGCATAAATAACAATTTTAGTAATATAATTAATTTAGGAATATAACCAAGCAGTTTTTAAAACTAAAATTTTCTTTTCAATATGCTTCTTCTGAAATGGAAATAAAACTGGCTTAAATAATATAACTAACATTATCAAATTAAATACTATAAAAACATTATTAGTGACTTCTTTATTTTAAAAATGAACCATCAACATAAAATAGAGTAATAATTATAAAATAAATACATTGAAGGTAAGATATTAGAGACACACAATTAACTGTTAAATTATGGGCAAATTATATATCTAACAATGAAAATTTAAGACATAAAACTCTGATCAGCCAAGAGAAGACACTTCTGGAAATTCTTCAGTATGAAAATGTTGTTATTTAAATACAGTGAATTCATATACTAAATCACCGACATTTTTGAAAGTCTGTTTTTAGTTATATATGCAGCTAAAATACATGAATATTCAGAACTGCATAGTTTCTTACTGAAAGGGAAAAAGCAAGTTCATTAAAGCAGTTGCTCCTCAATCTAGCCTACCTTGTTTTTTGGATTGGATGTGTTCATTACACTTCGAGTCTCTTTTCCAGTATAAATGACAACACCTATTACAGTACCTGCAAAAACATGAAAGTGGTCCTTATAGAAACACTTTAAAGGTAAGCAATGAAATAACACTAATTAACTGTTTTGATGGAAAAATATTATTTCAATATTCGATTTTATATAAATTTATTCAACAGTGTACTTAATTTGGCTATTTCAAGAAAATCTAGTATCAACTTTTTTTTTTTTGTCTTTTTCCGTGTCCGGCAACGGATCGCAACCCTCAGTGTCGCCCCCGTACTGGACAGGGACCGGCAACGGGATCGCAACCCTCGGTGTTGCTCCTGCGCCTCGCTCAGCCAGTGAGTGGGAACCGGTCTGTATGTGGGATCCGAACCCTCGGCGGGAGCGCCTCCACGCTTCCCAAGCGGTGCACTAGCGCAGTGCGCCACCGGGCCAGCCCTAGTATCAACTTTTAAAATGGACTTTGAGAAAGTAACATGGTTTGTTGATCAATACAAATTTACGCACATAGTACATATTAGAAGATATATTACTATTCTCACTGACAACAGAAAGAACGGTACTGGCCTTTCACCAATGTTTACTAAAATGGTAACACTACCACTGAAGTTAAATTAAGAGAGCTTATATTCTTAACTGATCAAACTCATTGTCTGACCTTCAAACTAACATGATACCAGCTGAAACAGTTTCTTCGGACAAGAGCATACTTCCACTGTAAAGATCAAAGTGCTACTAAGTATCAGTAAGAGCCTTTGTTGATATTTTAGATATATACAATTAACACAATAAGAGAAACATTATTTTAAAAATGCTATTTGATTTTGCATTTAGAAGATAGTAATCTCCTTTATTCATGTCTCTGAAAGTTTGGTTTTCTGATTTTACATGTCAAGAAGATATAACAATTTTTTAACTTAAGAGCAAAGAAGAATAAAATACCCTTAGAATAACACACAGATTACAAAAACGCAGGGGCACTCATCTTTGGAATGCCAAAATTAAAAATGATAAAAGTCTCTTACTTTTAACTATAGCTATGCATAATTTATTTCCCTAATATTCATCCTTAATTTTTGTAAATTTTGAAGGTGGGAAACATGATTAAGGTGAGAAAGACAATATATAAATAATATTCACTGAAATTAACAGCCACTGCTGAACTGCAGTAATTATACAAACACCCTTTGATGTCATATTAATTGAACATGTGAAATTTAGTGAGCTGTGAGTCTAGATCCATGCAGTCAACAGGACACGAACCATCTCCTGGCTGTATATGAACAGTGATAGCTATGTATTCTATATATCATAGAACTTATACCTTCCTCTCTAGAGAGCTCAGGAAGATGGAAGATGCGAAGTATTGCTCAGCAGTGATATCTGCAGAGGTTATGCATTTTTCTTTTTTAGTTGTGTGTCAATGGGAAGGTTGTGAGGCTTCACTGAATGGCATGGTCAGCCCCCACTTGGAATGTTAGCTCACCCAAATGCACAAATGCTGCCTTTATATATTATTACCCATATAAACTTCCTAGATGAGATGACTGGACTTAGCAGACAAAAAAATATTTAATACATAATGATATAACACTATTAAAAGCTTGCGAAAAAAATTTAGATCATATAATTATTTTGTCAGTGAAGCAAAATGTTAAATATGATCTGATCAATATTTTCTTCCTATTTTGCCAACTTATTTTAATTTAATCAGAATACAAAAGTGGTTCTAATGAATGATAATGACATAACAAAGCAAACTGCAAAATTTATTTTTTTAACATTAGCAGAATGAACAAGCCTCAGAAAAGACTTCACAATAGTTAATCAAGCTAGAAACCTTTGTCCGAAAAGTCAAGGCAGATTACGAGCAATGTGGATTCTAGGCTGGCATTACAATTTACAGTACCTAAATGAAGACTCACAAGAAACACACCATACGTGATAGGCATTTAACAGAATTCCTGACACTTTATTTGTATATTCTCTCAAAGTCTGCTACAGGCTCACATATATATTCTTTCATTTGAGTCTCACTAAAAATGAGAACTCGCTGTAATTAGATTTTTTTCTGAGTCTGTCATGCTTTTTAATTACTAAAATTACTAGAATATTAGTACAGGAACACACAGAACATCCTCTATTCTCTTGGACAGTGGGTGTGTACTGATGGACTAATATGGGCCAGAGGACTGAGTACGCCCTGAGTGCAGGGCAAAGAGAAACAGGAAGGGGTACCTACTCGCTTTGAAAAAGAGACATGAGAGGGCAGCAAGCGATGATGCATGCTTCTGTGTCACAATGGGTGACAGAGATGGAATGCGACAAATACAAAAGGTCGCAAAATGTCCCAACTTCAGTTGGCATTTTAAGTGTAAAATTAAGCTCCCCTCCCACTGGCCCCACCGTAGGCAGCTTCTATATCAGAGAGACACAAGTTCAGGAATGTGTTTGTATATTAGAGCAAAATAGACAATAAAAAAATTCTTAACAGGTAGGGTACCACTTCACAAAGTCCTTAAGGATGACAGTAATCTAGTATTTGTACTTAAAATTTTAGTTCAATTTGCACTGAGAAAACATTTTAGAAGATTTATGAGCACTTCATCTTTAAAGCCAGTGATTATACCTGCCTGACTCATATTTATATACTTCAAATTAACTATAGTTACTTAAAAATTAATATGAAAGTGTTCAGATGCTTTGTGTCCAGAAAACGGCATGACTGCAATCGCGCTGACCCACAGACCCCACTGGCGCGGTGGTGAGGGCCTCCTTCTTAAGGAGGTTACTAGGTGGTTAAAATCTGAAAGCCATTATATGGTCCAATTCCATTACTTCTAACTTCTGTTCAATCACCATTTCACTTGAGTGGAAAAGTAATTAATTTGGTAGCTAGTATGTGACTTCCTTATTACATGCTGTATAGAAAATTTCATACAAATCCTACCAATTTCTTAATTAACGCTGCAGTTGTATTTCAAGCAAACAACTTTCCTAATAGAAAAAAAGAAAAGAGAAAAAAGAAAAAATGCTGACAAGATCAAATTTAGGGGAAAAAGACATTCTTCTTAATATATACATTTTAAAATTTATGACTATAAAACATAAGTAGCAAGTCAAACTGACTAGTCTACTCAACACAAACTCAAAGCTTATCATTTTAAATGATAAGCCTACTGCGACACTTTCAGTTGCTTTTTTTTTTTTAACATTTACTTGCACATATCTGTGGGGTTGAGTGTGCTGGTTCAATATGTGCATGTACCGCACAGGGATTCACTCAGGGTACACAGAACGGCTTCGTACCTTTAGCCCACCATTTCCCCTCCCCTCCTGCTCAGCTATTTTTAACCACTGATAAGATATTATACTTAATTTGCAGATTATCAACCAGTCCTCACAAATTCAAAATCATGTAAAGATGATTCACAGAAAATTTTATATATATAAAAAATATATAAAACCTAGACTACTTTATCAAAATAATCAATGGCTTTAAAATATTAGATCTAAAACATACTGGTCCTTACTTAAAATTTATTCAAAAAAATGTAAGTACATATTTTATGCATGAGACAGACAGAACTATCAACCAATAAAAGTATTTACTATCAATTATGCATTCAGAACCTGCTAGACATTGTAAAAGAAAGCTGCCAGGGTCACTGAAAGTGACTATTATTTACAGCTGCTTTCCTGGTGCCAATCTCAACAAAACCTCAGTGTATGTGCTGCTCCACGATGCAGAGTCTTTGTGTGCTGGACCTGACAGTAAAGCAAGCAGGCAGCGCAGAGAAAATATACAGTGAACACCATATACAAAACACCTGCCAAGTACCAGGTACAGAGGAACCTGATGCAGACATTAAATTGAGCCTCAGAAAATCAAAAATTAGACCAAGGCCAGAAAAACAGAGTGAGCAAGTGACATGCACTGAGGTCTAGGGTCCACAAACCACGGACATCAGGAGAAGTCATCAGGCAAACAGAAAGTTATGAACAAATTCTTGTGTCCACCTTTCTGGCCCACAGAAAATGCTCCAGAAGTCCAAGGTTTAGAAGCAGCAACATCCACCTGTCTGTTGTAATTGTGACCTTGCACTGTGAACCTGTTCTTAGAACTGCCTGCTTGCTCAGCCTCCAAGTCCATTTTTTTTTGTCCTTAATCCCACGGCTCCTGGAGATGGAGGTCTCTTCCCACGCCAATCCTAATTCTTACCGACACCTCTTTGGAGCAGGAGCTTCTCAAACTATACTTAAAAGAGTTCATGAAAAGACTCGTATTATATTTTAATTCTATTTTCCACAAACTTTTTGAAGTACCCTCATACGTAGAAAAGAAAAAGATTTTATTTTGAAAATTTTTGAAAATTTCTTATCTGTTCTGTCTGCTACTTTTGTAAAACAGGATATAAATGAATTCTCAGAACAAAATAAAACAAATATATGCCCAATTTTTTCAGCATTAGTAAACTACTTCATCAAACTGCTATAAAAGTCCCCAAATGTTTACCCTCAATTCGTGTATTTACTTTTCCATGAACAGTAACGCCTCTCAAACAGCCATCTGTGCGCACTGCACAGCCCTGCTCTGTGGCTCAGCTCCTGGACGCCCATCCTCCCACCCACCTCGAGCACACAGTTCCTGGACAGATGCGCTCTTCTGCCCACTCAATTCTCATTCTAGGACCTTGGCAACCAAATATCAGGAGCTTTCCCTCATGTGCTGTGGCTAGAAAATGACAGCTCTTCAGGAACTCACTCTGCTTTTTGGAGAAACAACGTTCTCTGAATAACTAGGGGAGATGAGATGCTGCGGTATCGCGAGGCGTCCCATGTACTCAGAGCTCTGACGGGGAGCAAGGCCCGAGTTCACTTTACCTTCAGAGCCAACTCGGATTCAACTGAGATATAACTTTTAAAGTTGTAAGATTAAAAAGAATTCTCAACTTGTAATCAATTACAAAGGACATAAGAGCCCTTATGTTATTCCTTGAAATCTTGAAGTCCTTCATACATTCTTCAGGATATGGCAATCTGGTTATATACAGAGTCTAGTCATAAATATGTTTTAAAAGATTTGAAATTAAAGAAAAAAGCTTGCATTTTAAAGATGTGCAAACACAAACTACCAGTAAAGGCATATTGGTGAATCTTCCTGAGCGGATGGTTCAGAGCCACCCATATACTCTCAGCAGGGATGAAATAACCCTGGCAAACTGGACATTCCATGGCACAGAGAATAAGAATGGGCTATGATGCAGTCAAAGTGTCACAACACTTAAATTAGTGTCTCATCACCAACATATGCACTGGCAGCTACCACAGGCCACGGTCATCAAGGAAACTAAGGCCACGACAGCAAACCTGTGTTCCAGGAACTGCACAAGACATCTCAGAAGCCTTCAGCTTGGGCTGTTCTGCCTCTTTCAGGAGCAAGGCCAAACTCAAAGCATTGGGGACCAGGAGCAACATTCCAATATGTATTTAAAAAGAATCCAGTGAGCAAAAGACCAAATGGAATTTATTAAAAAGAGAGAATCTTCTAACACATTAATGAACAATCCTTAATTAAGAATAATCAATGTCAATATAAAATGGAAACAAAATAGAATACAACAACTAAATATAGAAAATTCAAGATTTCTGACTGTATATGAGCTTTCATGCCCTATTCTGTGAATGTTTTCTTATAAACTAATGCTGAGCACTGAAGGGCCATGGCTCTAAAAAAAGGCACACCTGGACTTAAGCCTGGTCCAGGCCCTGCCTGGCTCTGTGACTGGCAAGGATGATGAGCCTCCTGAGTGAGAAACAGCATGGCCTCACTGCACTGCAAATGGGCTTCCACATCCATGACTGTCAGCAATACTAATGCCACGGGGAACGAACAAGCTCGAGGGAAAGATTCAAAGGCCTCCCTGGCTAAACCTCCCTGAGTCTCCCATGGGAGACTCAGTCTCCCGTGGTGACTGAGAAAACCTGTCACGAGGTCCACAGAGGCCGGGGGCCTAGCTTGCCCACCTCCATGATAATTTTACATTTTTAATACTTCCCACAGAAATTTACACTCTATACTATCAGTTTAAGGGCCTCCCTCTTCAACCACTAGGAACACTCCAACGTCTTCGAATTTCACTCCTAAGAAAATCCAGAGTCTTCATCCTGATCCCTGAGGCCTCTCATAGTTTATCCAGCCTCACCTAATGCTGGTCTCTCCCATGGTCACCCCAGCCACATTGCCCCACCAGTCCTTGTCAGATAACAAGTGGATAAGAGCCACCTAAAATCACCAGCTTCCCCAGTCCTGTTGCGCCGCCTTTCATTAATGCATCCTGACAAATTTGTCAAGAAATGCTGTCAAAAACCAGCACAACGTCCTGGGCTCTTCCAGGAAAGCTGTCCCTGCCTGCTTCAGACCGTGCTGTTCCAAGTGCAGTAAATGGCCAGCAGCACGGGCCTCTCCGCAGACTCTCAGGACTGTCCCATATATACTCAGGTGGAGTCTGCATTAAGGTCCCTATGCATTTCAGGACATTTTGGGAAACACATGCTTGGAGTCCAGGAACAACACAAGCATCACCCTCTGTAAGGATGCCCACCAGAAAGAGAGCTTCATGCTTACCTGATGCCACAACGGTGCTTGCCCACAACGTGTTCTCTATGCTGAGACTTTCATGAATGGGTGGGTCGCTGTCTTCCTGTTTCCAGAGAGAAAAGAGAAACAAAACTGGCAAATGAGAGATGTGTTTATTATTCACACTTGAGAAATCTAGTATTATAAATGTGCCACAAACCAGACCCAGCTGAACAGCAGTGGAGAGGCACTGCAAAACAGGGGCTTACAAAAAAGGAATAAAAACTGAAATTACAAATGGAAAGAATGCCTTAATCAATTAATTGTTCTTAACATTTAACTTGAACATAAATAAAATAATTTTAAATTTTATTAGAGCACTATATGTTCTGTTATTTTAAGGGAGTAGACTAAAGTTACCTCTTCAAATATATGGTTTAGCATCACCACAGCACTCCCAGAAAGTAGAAAATATTAGCACAGTCATAATCACAAATCTACTCATCGATGTTACTGCACATGCATGTTAGAATTTCCTCTCCCAATCCCTTGTTAAGGACAAGGGCTACACTTTTCAAATGTGTGTATACTTGTGAGAGAAAACAATGCCTTGAAGATTACTGTGAAACATATGTGTGTGTGTATGTGCACAAAGGTACTTCAATAAGTTTGTGGAAAAACAGAATTAAAAGATAACATGAATTCTTCCATAAATTTTTTGAAGTACTCTCACAAACGTGTGTGTGTACGCGTTTGTATTTATACAGAAAGAGAGAGAAATGTCATTTATCTTAAGTTCCTCTTTTTAAATGTTATCATTATGCTGGATATTTTTCAGTAAAAATTCGAATACAAGGGTACTTCAAAAAGTTCATGAACAAGCAGAATTAAAAGATAATACGAATCTTTCCATGGATGTTTTGAAAACCTCTTTTATAAGCTGTATGTAGCTAATTATGTATACAGGTATCAAACAAACACGACCATACGTCAATTCACAACTGCAATATGCACAATCTAGTTTTATCTTTAAATTTTTAATGTTCATATTCAAAGACAAAAATTATAATTTAAAATTTGAGAATTTTTCATCATAATCTAAATTCATAGTCTGTATTCTGGTTGTGGAAGTCTTGGTAGAATAAAGGATTACAAAAGTCCACAATCCTGCATCTAGAAGTAACATAGGAAAGATATTATATACGGTACCAAATGACCTTTATGTCTGCATGGGGTAAAAAGCCATATGTTGTTCTATTGGAAGTCTCCCTTAAAATAATGCCACCAGCATAGGACTACATTTTATTATAAGCAAATAATTTGCTATCAGGATATATTTTAAGATAACAAACCAAATTTGGGAAGAAAAGGCAGAAATTGCAAACATATTTGCTAAAATGGTCTGCATGTAAGAAATAGAGGTTTGTGCCACTGGCGTTTTCTCTCCATTCACTTATCAAATAATCTTCAAATGATGTAAATTCTGGCCACTTTGCAACCTACCTGAAAGATATTTGCTAGATATTTGATCCTCTGATATATTTGATTCTCTGATTTATTTGTGAAACTAAACCAATCCTAACAGTTTCCAAAATATTTCACTTAATACTGCAAATATTTAGAAAGTAAAGTGTTTGAAATCAAATTTGAGGAAGGGGTGTGGCCCCCTGTTGCTTCATATTCATCAGTAAGACCAGCAGCTACGAAGCATTGTGCATTACAGGCTTTCCTTGTACTGCAGCCAGGATTTGTCTCTTAGGATCTAACGCTCCTCTGTATGTCCTTAAAAAGAAAGCCACCACCTGGCCTGAAGACTTAACCTGAGCATCTCTGGATTTTTGAACATGAAGACTGTGATGCCAGTAAATGTTAAAACACAGGTGGGGGTACCATTTCCTAAAAAGATTTCAAAAATATGGACTGGCATTTAATGTACTGTGCCTAACTTATATCACCTGTAAAAACAGGAATTCAGTGAGCTCAGTCAAACACATACTCCATATCTTTTATACACCAAGCCCTGTGTTAGAAACCATGGCTATAAAGAAGAATTAAGACACAGACTCTCACCTACTAGTCCATGGTTTAGTGCGGGAGCTAAACATGCATGCAAAAAACTAAAAAGCAGTGTGCGAAGGGCACATGTCATGGAAGGCAAGAGCACAACAGCAGCAAAGAAAAGGGACACAAGCAAGCGCTCTCAGCAACAGAGCTCAAGCTGGGCCTCACAGAGCAGGTGCAGATGCAGCCTGCATGAAAGGAACCTGACGCAGATGCTGATGCCAGGGTGTGACCAGTCACCATTTCTGTACACACACAAATACTTTTAATTTTACCATCCCTTAGGACTTACTTCTTTCAATTACACTTAATCAAGTAAAATAAGTAACACACTTCGCTGCATTTAGTAGTTTTAGATTACAAAAATCTATTAATAATTATACAGCTGCATCAATATGCAAAATACAAAGGAAGTATATTTTTAAGTGGAAAAACTGAAGCTTATGTTATCCCAATATAAATATATATGTTTAAGGGAAAAAAACTCAAAGGGAAGAGTCAAAATAATATTAGTATTTATATTAAAACGGCAGAGATATAAAAAATTTTTATACCTTTAATCATTTATTGTATCTAGTCTTATACTAATGGTGATAATGAGTTTAAGATTTCTAAATGTTACATCAAGCTCTTGCACACTAGCTGACGTGCCATCATTACAGTCTTTGAAACGGCCCAAGCATCTGAGCACCTGTCCTGCGTTGTCCAAGAGTGAGCCAGCTCCTTCCACGGAAGCACCAGGCAGGCAGGGCTTTTGCTCCCTTTGTTGACACTTAAGTGGATGTTCAAGGTAAAGAAACAAAGATTGTCCAATTCAGAAATAAATAATTCAGGAAAACCGGGTTTTTCCTTTGGGTCTTATGCTTTTACAGAACAAAAAATAAACCTTTAGAAGAGAGAAGTGAGTAGCCTCCATAGATTAGACTATTTAGCACTAGAATTCATGACTGAACTGAAATGACCCATTTCTGATTCACTCACAGAGATGGTCTTGTAGTCTAATTCAGACAAATACTGTTGGAGAATTAGAAAAGTCTACATAGCCTCACTCCTGTTTCCCAAATATGGTCATCCTGGTACATCGTTCAACTATATATTGGTCTGGGAGTTTTAGACAGGCCCAGCAGACTGAGTACCTAATTGGCATAATCAGGCCAATTGCTGATTCACACATTTACCATTTAAGGTTTGTAGCAAATTATTAAATAATTAAAAATTACTAATAATTAAAAAATTCTTTAAAATGAATTCACAATTATTCACTGTATCACAGCAACTCACGTTTGCTAACCCCACAGGATAGTAGGCTGTGTGACTATGGGGTTGGCTTTTGCCTTCCTAGTAACTAATAGAGAACAGGCCTTCTTCAAATGTGTCCAATAAGTGAATGACTAAAAGAACTAACTCGGAACTCTTCCTGTAATCTCCACAGGCATCAAGACACCTTTAATTTCCAGTGCCCTTGTTGTGAGTGCTACTGTTCAAAGCGATCCGACTTCTGCTGGGCATCTTGTAAACATGTTTCCATCACGTCCCCCCACAGCTGCCCTTGTCAATCTACCACCTAAGCACAGATTTCACACAATTTTACTAGCTCAAGACTCTTGCTAAGATTTCCCATGGTATGAAATTCAGAAGATCATGAATGCGTGCATACCTTTTAGCATAGTGTTTTCTCCTTATGTTGAACCCCAAGAGAAATAAGGACATTAAAAATATTAAAAATTCTACAAGGCCTTCTGAACTACAAAGAAAAGGCTCCTCTATACAATTCGGTTTTAGAAGTTTAACTTGGTTCTCCCATTACTTTTCTAAAACAATTCAATCATGTGAATGTATCTATTTCTAACACAGTTACGTGTTGAAGAAATGTACATCATCTGTGCATTTTCCTTTCAATTCTGCAAAAGCAATGATGGACTTCCAACATTAAACACTTTCCTAATATTGAGAAAATTATTCTAAAAGACAGTTTTTTACCAATCTCATGTAGTACAGAATAAAGACTCGGAAGGTTGGAAAGAAATTATCTCTAAATAACTTCCTCTTTTGGTTTCCTTCTCCTTAATGTTAGCTTGAAAAGATAAAATCTGCTTTGGTGAGGGAGAATGCAAAATGTTAATAATTTCAAGCTGTTTTCTCAATAGTATACCCTATTTAACAAATAACAGGGATTTGCTTTTTAAAAGGCGAGTACTCTGATTGAAAACACATGAACAATGATAAGTGTGCTATGGTCCGCAAAAGAAATTACAGCAGAAAGCGCGTTATAAAAACAATCAAATGGGAACGTGACGTTAAAGGACTATAAAGACTGCTGGTATTTCAAAACTGGCTACAGTTTCAAATTCCAAACTTCCAAGAAAATGCCTATGTCTTGAACAGTAAGTGAAATTAATAATATCAGTAACAATAATATGAGTGATTTACATAACACAAAGCATTACACAGTCACAACCTGGGTTACCCAACAGCTGTTTTGCAGTATGGAGAGGCAGATATTCACAATGAGCATTTCTGTTAGATTCTGCCTGGGCCATAACATGCACGATATGTCTACCACCACAGGAACCTGGAATTGATGTGCTCTAATTCTTATTTAAGTATTTAAGCTGGCACGAAAGAAAGCGAAGTCTGACACCAGCCTGACTTCCTGCCAGCAGTGAGTGAGTCGGCCCTTCTGCCTGGAGGACCAAACGACTTTCTTCCGTTATGTATAAAATTAATAGCAGTTACATGCCTTGAAGTTTTCTCAGGAACACAGTGGGCCCTTTCAATGTGTAGATTCAGATATTCCCATATTTTAGTGACATTCACTTGAGCTGTAATTTTTCAAAATTGTTTCATGGTATTTATTCAAGACTCTCTTGTGGTCAACTCCCACTCTCCACCCTCCACATCCTTGGCCATTTCACTTTCTTGGTGCTCCATCTCTTACAGTGCATCCCTCCAGCCACTCTCTTGCATTCAGTTAGCTCACATTTGCATTTTCCTGTTTTATCTCCATTTCTACTTTTGAGTTTAATTTCTGATTTATGGTGTTTTCTATCTACAACTGTTTGGTTAACTATATTTAAATCAGGTTTGTTGCACTGTTAAAGCGTTCCTCTGCTTTGAGGTTTTCTTTGCTTGTTTTTGCAGAATTTTTATTAAACGAAAAGTTTTGCTTGCTACTATCCATTTTCTTCATTTAGCAGTTTAGTTAGTATGTTGGGTTCCTTCTTCTGGTCATAACAACAAGTGCTGGTTTTCTTGAAACAGTAATAATAAGGAATTCTATTCCTAGGGTGGAAGCTGCTGGGATTTGTTTCCCAGTTCAAGTGAGCCTCCTTCTGTAGCACAGGGAAGTTCAATGTCTTCACTGAATAGCATCCTTTTTGGAGGTGGTATGGGGCTGACTCTTCTGATTGTTTCTACCTTGTTTCAGAAAGGTCAATTTTGTCTTTTCGTCTTTCCTCACCCAGCCTCCTGAAGACACCAACCCTTTACAGGTTCCCCCTCTACCCCTGTACAGTCCCCAAATGGTCACCTCTGACCTGCACTTTTTCCCAAACTCCCTTCAACATCCCACATCTTCCCTTCAACAGCTGTGCTCCACAAATCTACACATGAGACACACTGCCCCAAGCAGAGGTACCTTTCCTTCCAGGATCAAAGCCTTGACCATGTCAGCATCCCAAGACAACCTCCTTTCTTCTGCACCATCCTGGCTCTGGAGCTGACTGTGCTATTCTGGATATCCCCCCAATTACAGTAAATAAAGGCTGCAGTATTTTCTGTCTCATATATATGCTGCACTTTTGAGCTATAGATAACCCTGTCTGCTCTCATTCTTGGCCTGTGTGGTTTTGGAAGGTTGTGAGGACATAAACAAATTTAGGTAGCTTCTGCTGTCCTAAGGGAACTGGGAAGTCCAGAGGAAACTTTTTAAAACACCAACATTACCATTTCTCTTCTAAGCTGAAAATCCTGGAATGGCTTTTTCCAGATCAAGCCTGGCTACCCTTTCCAGTCCTGCACCTCTCATCCACCCTGACCCCTGCACTCTCAGTCACAGGCTCCCCTGGGAACCGGGCTTTTGCAGCCATGGTTTTTAGACAAGCTGTTCTTACTCTCTGGCTTCAGTGTGCTTCCACACATTGCCTAGCAAACATTCCCAACTTTTAGGAAGCCATAAGCAATACAGGTGGGGGGGTGGGGGGGGTGGGAAGCAGAAAGCAAATAATATTCCTAGTTCTTAATAGTGGTTACATTAACAACCCTTTTAATTTATTGTAATAGGGTACCTTTCTGTAAACCTTTTACTCATATGCTAAATTGTCTTTAATAAGGACTTGCTTTTTTCATAATAAATATTTTTGTAAAAACATAAGATTACCTGTGCATATTTCAGAACTCATTACACGATACTTACCACAAGGAGATGCTTCCTCCTGTGTCTGGCATACTTGTATGCAGCACTCATGGAACTAAGCATCTGCAAAGTCACGTCCACCTCCCCATGGGACTCTGATGACCTCATGATGTCCTCCTTCTGTATCCCCACAGTTCCCACATTAACTGTCACATAAGGTAAGCTGTGTAAAAGCTTTTTCAACTAATGACAATGCTTCCCATCTTTATGTATGACCAAGAGAGAAACAAAGGTGACTGCACCAGCAAAAATCTTTTAGAAATAATTGCAGCAACTAAAAATAAACTATAGTTACATATTAAAATCCTTTTTTATAAAGCATTTATGATACCATTTATAAGCTATTAAAATAAGAAGTTGAGTCCTTCAAACCCTATCAGTCAGAGGCAGGGGGCTTCATGCTTTACCAAAACTCATGTGGAATGAAATATACATTTGTGTATAAAGAAATGTACATATACATACACACACACAAATATCTACTTACCCAGTTAATAAAAAGCTAGAAATGATGTGGATATCGTAGTGTACCAACTATTACCCAAAGTCTAAACTGAAAGAGTTACTTCATTTTACTGACTCATAGTATAGGGGAGAATAATCTTATCAATGTAAATATGCTAAAAAATTAGAAAAACTGTACTGAATGTATCCCAAAGAGATATTTGATGTAGGAAAATTTAAGAATTTAAAATGTTGTCTAGGTTTCTCTTTACCATTTTAAAACTTCTGTTTGAATTTATTTTTGATTGAATTACTCTCTCTCAAAAAAAGTTTGCTACTTTAAATTTATCTACACAATGATATATTTGTAATGAACAAAAACTGTAACTTACCCTGGTAAACGTGCCTTCAAAACTATGAATATCCAGTTGTGGCTTTTGAGCATAAACATAAGCATTGATAGAAAAAAGGTCCTGGAACATAGAACGTTTGAATTAATTACATTGTTATATTTAAGTAAAATTACTTGGAAAATTTCCAATTTCTAATTAATATTTTTCATGTGCAATTTAACAAAAGTGATCATTGCTTTTCCTAAATTTTGTGTGTCAACACTATAAATGAGGAAGATAACTAAAGAAACAATGTTTAAGCCCAGCAGGGGTGCAGTGAGATGCCTGCTGCCTGATGGCAGGTGTGTGTCAAAGCCACTCGGGTGATGCTCATGTGTCACAGGAGCTGTCCACACCATTCCAGTTTTCAAGGTGAAGTCTGAGTGAGAATACCTTAAAGTTATATGGGTATGAGAGTATGCAGTGGAATTTAAGTAGCCATTACAATTCCCATTAAGTTTTATAAAACAATCTAATAAAGTCCTAGATCTGTTTACATGTGTTTTTGTTCTAGCACCTGCCACAGCTGCCGTACACGAACGACCACCTTCTGTAAAGCCATGAAGACAACATGCTTCTCCAGTGTGCCTGAACCATACCATGTACAAGGGGTCTTCAAACGTTTGTGGGAAGATTCATATTATCTTTTAATTCTACCTTTCCACAAAGTTTCTGAAGTGCCCTTGTATATTCACAAAGCTTTATGGGAAGGCTTTCATGAGCCACACAACTTCCATGTAACTGGAGTTTGGAAGCAGGACACGCACAGGCTTCAGGCTGCTCCTCTTGCTGGCTACGTGCAAAGGACCAAGCAACAGTCTCCAGAGATGAGACCGTAAGCACCTTACTTTAAGATAATTATAAAAGTATGTTTGCTGGCCTGGGATTTTTATTTAGTTTTGAAAACTCTTTATATTTCTATTAAAATAATAGAAGTTATATTAAGTGAAAAATGTATTTACAATACATTTTAACTTTTAATGATGTATAATTATTTTTACCAGGCCATCAAAAAGAAATTTACAGTACTGAAAAGCTCACTGTCTGTTAGAACTTTGGCAAAACTATGTCCTGCACTAGACCTTTATTGGGCTGTCCACCAGATAGCCCAGGAAAAAGTGACTTTGCATTGCTTCTGTGTGGCACTTACTAAAATCACCAACTTACACTTGACATTACAAAACTCCAAAGCATACAGACATGAAGCATAAAATGTATTCTAACCCAAATATACTGGCATATTTTTCAAATCGATTCATGTGAAACCAAATAATATTGGTTACATTATATTCATGAATGGAGATCATTTATATTTGTGTTTTTTAGGGTAAAGTTTTTGTTTCTTTCTTTTTGGTGGCTGGCCAATGCAGGGATCGAATCCTGGACCTTGGTGTTATAAGTACCATGCTCTAAGCAAGTGAGCTAACTGCCAGCCCCAGGATGAAGTTTTAAAAATCTTTTAATTCTTAACATTTTGTTTGGTTTTAAAAATATTCTTAATTGGCTATCAGAGAGCTGAGCAAATATAATATAGCAGCAAAAAAAAAAAAAAAAAATCTGCCTTAAATAAAGGCCTTCATAAAACTAAAACTTAAATGAGATAATAATGACTCTCGTTCACATACATGAAGAGGTAAAGAATTTTAGCCTCTGTTTCTCGCTATGGTCTCTTTTTGGTGCTGTTGCATAGATTCTGAATAGTAAATACCCAATTCCTTCATACTGCTTCCATTGCTAGTTTCTCTGCTACTCTCTGAAAGAAGCCTGGAATTACTTTTCCGTTCATTAGTACTGTAAGAGTTAACAAAAGATGTCATGTAGACCTGAAGATAACTGAAAAATGTTCAGTTTGAGTCAAAAAGAGACTTCTAAATTTAAGGAAAATTAAGCTGCAATCAAGCATGCTGCCGCTGCCGCTGCCGCTGCCGCCCTGGGGCCCTACCAAGGTCCTGGGGCAGGAGCCAGGATAAGCCGAGCCACACAGGGAGCATATCAAAAACACCATTTCCACGCGGGTAGCCCACCACAGCCACTGCAATTGCCACGGCAGCTGCAAAACCGGCTAGTCTCTTTAGCAGTTGTCACAGACACTGTGCAGATGGCACACCAGATACTCAACTGCACTGACATAAGGAGAGTCACCAGCAGAGACCCCCTCCAAAACAGAAGAGGTCCTCTCTCTCCACAAAGCACACTCCAGAATAATAGAAGAAGCACCTGCTATACGATAATAGTGGGGGATGTGAACACACCTCTCTAAGTACCAGACAGATCATCTAGGCAACAAATCAACAGAGAAACAGTTAATCAATCAGAAAGAGAGAACAAATCTATGGTTATTAGAGTGGGGAGGCGAGAATGGGGATTGAATACGGGGCATAAAGAGTAAAGAATAAGTATAATTTGTAATAATGAAAATGGTAAAAAAAAAAGTTTTTAATTTTTTTTAAAACTACCTGAATAAAAAAATCACAAATATAAATAAATAAATTAATTAATGTAAGGAAAGTCCTGTAATATGAAAGGCAGTTTAATACAACAATGTAGTGACTACTAACAAAACTAATGAAAAAAGAGGTAACTAATGACTCGAGACAAAGGACAAGTCAGACTCAAGTCCATTTTAGAGCAAGGTGAAAAGAAGCCTTGATGACATTGAGATAAATTTGGCGAGTTGAAATCTCTCAGCCTCCTGAATAGGATGACATCCTAACCTGCCACGATAGAGACTGGCTATAGCCTCTCAATACTGCTGGTGCTTGTACGCAACAGCATATGCGTATGTGCTCCTAGTCCAGGTTTTGTTCTCTGATTCTCTACCCAGAAGACCCAAGGATCCTTGGGGAATGGTTGGTACCATGATTGAGGCAGAATTCTCAGAATGAGGCTCAGGAATTCTCATTCTTTGGAATCCTAGATTCATAGTTCCTAAGTGCCTGGGCTTGACTCCAGGCTGGACCCTGTCTGCCAGGGGCTGTTTCAACCGCAACACGAGCTGGGCCACACTGAGAGCGGGAACACACTCACAGACAGCTCTCAGACCTGGGAAGGGTGCAGAGTCAGACCCTGTGGAGGGGCCATGAGCCATGAGGCCATCCTGGACATTAGCACTTGTTCTCTGAGGGGCCATCTATCTGAAATCAAGCCCTTATCAGCCTACATCCCCGATTCAGAGACCAGCTGCACTCCTAACCTGTGACCCCTGCCCAAAGCTGCAAGTTGGGGAGGCCAAGGATGGGGAGCACACCCCTGACTGATGGGACCCTCAACTCCCTCCAGGGCGTCTAACACTTGTTATATTTTGTGACCCAGATTAGCTGTGGTCTGCCACGGTAGGCCAAGGGCCTGAGTCTACTTCCCTTGCCTCTCCCATATACACACCATAGTGAGGCAGTCTGAGTGCTGAGTGATGCTGCCCGGAAAGGGCCATGGCCAAGACAAATGATTAGGGCAAAAGGGATGGGGAATTATGTAAACCTATTTTAGAAATGTGCCAAAATTCAGAATTTCCTCGATCAATTCCTAAACATGGAGTGTACTTCTGGTTAAGCTGCAAAAAATGTTTTCCTTTGAGCAACATCTTTTGTTCCTCTTCCTTACAAGCCTTCCAGAGGAAAGGTCCGGGGAAGCTTAGGGGACGGCTGACAAGAAAGAAGAGTTAGGACTGCCAAATGCAACACCATGTTCGCATCTGGGAGGTGCATGGCCAGAAGAGTTGGGGCTGCAGTCTTTGCTTCTCAGAACTGTTTGGGAAGCACTCCCCCATCACTGAAGGGAAACTCCCCACACAGCCTCTGCGAGCTCCTGCAGGCAGCCCAGACTCAAACGGGCTGCTGAGCCCACAACCACATGCAGCAGTGCCGTCCTCTATGATGAGCTCCACAGTGAGGGGCACTGTTTTAACTAGCTAAATAGGGCACACCTGAGACCAATCCTGCAGGCTGGCCTCGCTTGACTTTGTGGAGTCCTAAGGATAAGAACACTCCTAACGACTGTGCTGTAAAGACATACTGGCCGAGATATATTTCCCATCTCTGGCCTACATTCTGAGGGACGCAGAGCAATTCATTTTCTGCTCTTATTTATTTTATTTTTAAATTTCAGCAATCATATGTATTTCCAAGAGGTCTTATTTTCCATTTGATTTTTTTCATAGCTTATTTTATTTGTGTTGTAACAGCATCTCAGATTTCTTAAAATACGTTAGACATTTAAATGTATTCTCTTCTGTTCCTGGAATACCTGACTCCTCCGGACTCAGTTTTTAGTGACCCCAGTCTCCCCTTTCCTGTTGATTATACGTGTGCTTTCCAATGATCCTCTCAGAAAAGGGAGGTGGGGGCCAGAGGCGTCCTTCTCCTGTCTGCAGAACGCTCACTCTTGCCAGCTCTCTCCCCATCACCGAAAGAAAATACTCTTTAGCAGAGAATGTGCAATTGTCTGAAATTCATGTGGCTCCTTTCACTGCTAGAAGACATTTACTAGTACGCTGTTTATATTTCATTTATTTCCTCCTTAATCTAAGTGAGTCAGGAACGGACCAGCTTGTGAATCGATTAGAGTTCCTTGAAGAACAATCGCAAAGTAGCTGATGCTAATAACGATGATGACCCTAACAGCAGACCTGAAAGAGGGCATCCTGCTCCCAGGGCAGCGAAGTCCTCCAAGAGAAGTGACCCAGTGGCTTTAGAGCACCCCATTCAGGAAGCAGCATACGGGGAAACCAAAGACACTCTGAAAACAAAATGAAGATGTGGTATGGCAGAGACTGTCTTCCACCTTTCTTCCTGTCTTCTTTTAAAAACAGAACTTCTAGGCTTTAGACAGGCAGGTGGCATCCCACCCACAGAATACACTTCTCACAATTGTTATGACCACAGGACTGATTCTGGCCAGCAGAGCATGATGAGACGTGCTGTGCCACGTCAGAGCCGCAAGAACTCACTTGCCCTTCCTCCCTTTCCACTGGCTGGCGTGCAGGCAGGGCAGCCACTGGGACCCACCGTGTAAACTCACAGAAGGAAGAGGACAAGGCCGCCTCTCAGTCTTGGACCACCCACCTCTGGACTGCTGAGTGAGGG